AGAAAAATCTCTATAACTTTTGATGGAAGAGGCATGGGCACGAACCCTTTTAGTGTTATAACCATCTCGACATGCTCTATCGATTGAGGTATAAATGAGTCGAAACTGAGTCCAACATCTTAGGATGTTTACTCGTAAGATCAAGTGTTTTTGATCATTTTTAATTCTAATTAAAAACACTAATATTCTTGATCGATATTCTATTTCTCAATCAGAAAAACCGTTTAGAATGAGTTTACATTATCATGTCGTATGAACGATATTATAATATATTATTAACAAGATCTTGGTAGATAGGCCCCTGTCCCGCGATTTGATGTATTACTTTAGTTTAAGTTTAACTGATCAGACTGTATTTTTGAGAAATGAGTGAGTAACGGCTAGAATAATAGTAATAGATCAGGGGGTCATATCACGAAAAAAGTTAAGTCAGGACTTAATTCGAACTTTAAGATCGATTTAAGTCTGAAAACTTAAACCGTTTCACGAAAAAGACTTAAGTTGACAATTTGTTTACTTTTTAAAAGTCGTTGACAACAATGACAAACTTCGGATAAAAACCCGCAAAATAACGAAATATTTATTCTGTAATCCTTAGGATGTCGTTTTCGTCGAATCGTATCGTTAAAAGCCTGATCTATTCAAAAAATGCGTCAATGACTCAAGTCCGACTTAAGTTTTCGGTCTTAACTTTAAGACTACATTTCCCATGACTTAAGTTTTTTTCTGATACGACCTCCCGAATGTATGTGTATGTTACATAAGTTTTTTTGTCTGTATATAATACTGCTGATGGTGATTGTCAGTAAACTTTCTCAATACGACGAACGCAATTGAATCTAATATTATAATAAGGTTTTGTTGACGACGATGCTTCTATGGCATCATTGTGTTATAAATCATACAAGCTCCTGTTTGATGCTTCTCAGTCTACCTTCATTTAATTATCTATTGTGCACGTATGAGTCATAAGATAGAAAAAATCGACTGTTTCCAAAATATCTCAACAACTACAGATCAGTTAGCTTTTTGTCTGCTGGAAGAACACATCTACACGATATATTGAACAAGTTGCAGTTGCATTGCTCTTATACAATGCAACCAAGATTCTATTAGTGGTGAATTGAACCCAAGTAAGGTAAAAAAAATCAAAAAAAGTTAAAAAATTCGTAGTAGTAGAAAAAATGTTAACTCACCGAGTTTTCAAAAATGCTTATAAAATCAAAATACAGAAATTTTAAATTAAAAAGTACAAATACAGAGCACCTGACGGTAAACATTTTGGCACAATCTGAGCAGTTGAGATGATAAAGTGTGGACTGATTGCACTGTAAACTCCTGTTCGGAAATGTTTAGCGGAAGTATCCCACTATAAGTTTCAAAACTCATTCATCAATACGTAACAATATTTGTGTGTACTAGTATCAAAACTGATTTTTAATGTGGGATTATGTCAGAGAGGCAAAGTAAATTCTTAAAAGCACACTAGTCTATTTTATTCTTGGTATGTTCTCCTAAATGTGGGTAGAGATGCACGAGTATGAAAACTATATCCGTACCCGCCCCGAAAATTTTCTCTCTACCTGTGCTGACCCGTACCCAAAAACGTAAAGAGCATTTTTTTCTTTGTTTTTATCCTTCTTTAAAGTACTCATTCTTATAATCCCTGATTATGATAGAAATTTATTGAACTACACTTATATGTATAGAATAATACATTTATAGGAAAAACACAGGTGGCTAAATTTCTGAACTACATTTAATTCTCCATCCAGAACTCTGCTAAATATTTGTTTCATCTGTTTAGAAGAGAAATGTAAATGTGATATTAAATATTTACACATTTTTGTCATATATATAATCTCACACCGATATTTTTTCAGCCGGCATCGTTTGAATGAAATAAATACTTCACAGAACAATGATATGTCAGTCCGATACATCTATAATTTGCTTAATATGAATCGAAAGCTTGCTTAGCAAATAAATGATTTTTATTGAATAATAATCATTGCAGCAGTTATAGATTTCCTTACCTGATTTATGCCCTCTTACAGAATTAGTGGCATCAGTTTCCTTAGGGTAAAATTACAAATGTTCGACCCGTGCCCGCCAACTTCGTGGTCGTACCTAACCTTCGAGACGGATCATGTTACGCATCTCTAGACGTGGGGTATAATTCTGATTAATCATAACACAAACTCCACTGGTCGGCTATCCACGGATTAGAGATGAAATATTCTATTTACCGGTCGCTAGTTTATTTTCGATAATTAACACATATATTCATGGAGCTGGAAAGTGTCTGAAATTATAGGTGTTGTTTACGCTCCAGTAGGAGACATTTCTTGAAGATCTTGTAATATGTACCTCTCTAAAGAAGTAATATGTTTTCTACTACTCGAAAATGCATTCAAGCTGAGTAAAATGCAGACAGTTAGACAGGATATACGTACTGATTGGGATTTTCCGGATTTTCTGTTTCAGCACTTTTAATTGTGCATCCGATCATGTTTTTTTTACAATAATCTCTTAAATGTGTTATTGGATTCTCAATTGGTTTCACTGCATGAATGGTCAGAGGTGTCGATGTTGTCTGACGTTGGCAAAACGATGACGATGATAAATTAAATGATCGATTATGTATTAATTCATCACCATAATAATTGGGTGTCATTGATAATGGTAGAGTTACGGATAGCGAACGTTCACCCATAACACTTCGGCGAATTGTTTGTTCAACGCCTTTGGAACGAAGTAAATCTGGATGTCTGAATAAAACAAGAATTGATGATTCAACGATGAAACATCTTACATATTCGTCAGACTGATTTCAAATGACTGATGAAATGCAAGTATGTACATACACAGCTAAATCATTTAATTTTTGTGTTAATTCTTGAATAAATTCATCTGTAAATATATGTTCGGCATCATTCGGTCCACTCTCAATCGTTCTATTTCCATTTCGATCAATTTTAATATCAGAAATACCTAAAGTAAAAAAATACATTTCACAGCTACTTACAGCTATACCATCTGCTTACACCTACCCGCAAATCTTGTATCAAATGCTTCTTCATCCAAATCTAATAAGGCTGCAAATGCTGCTCGTGCTCCAGCTATTTTTGCTTCTTTTTTTGATTTTCCCGTGCCTTGCGGCAAGAGAACACCGTCAATTGTTGCTGAACTAGCATATAAATATTGATGACCAGCCTCCGTAAAAACAATTTTCTTTTTTGTCATTGATGCATATTCGTTGAGACATTGGACAGGATTCTTTTTACCACGAAGTAAATCTTCGACAACATCACGACCAACTCGTTTAATAATACCACCACCAGTTCGAGAATTTGGTCGTGATCTAAATAATGGTAAGCACGTGAGACAAAAGATTTATTCTCTCATGTATCATATTAAAGTAAACCCTAGCAAAACTTCTTTAATCAAGATTTCACTTCTTGGATTTTTTTAATATCATATTGTCTTAAGATCATGGGAAGACAAGGTAAGTCGTTAAAAAAATTTCAAACATCCAAGTTCTGGAATGTCTTGAAATCCTTAACTTCTTGCACTAAAATCTTGATTAGAACCTTGGGTAATTGAATCTTGCACTCGAGATCTCAGAAATTTTTGAATCAGTATCTTGTTGTATACTCTTGTTTGTATGTAAATGAGAATATTTTAATCCTTATAATAACCACGAATTTTTCTCCTTCTGGAACATTTTTGTTTAACAAAGTATCTGTGATTCTGTATGATCGTATATCTGCTGGCTATGACTTACATACATGAAAACAAAATGTCACAAATATACACAAGATCTTGACATTCATAGCAAAATCGAAAGCAATACAAAATTCTTTTTTCTGTCAAATAAATCTTCAATTCTAAGCTCTGTAGAACAAAAAAGACTCTGTATACTGGGCTAGCCTGACTTTTGCTACGATGTGTAAAACATTAACATCTTACAACTAGAGGTGTTAGCCGCGCCGCTGTCGCCGCCGTATACAGAATTTGTTTTTGAAAGTTTTCGCCGCCGCCGCTGATCCGAAACATTTTCAAACCTTTTCGAAGAAAATTTATTGAAAATTATAACTTTTTCAAATTTTCACGCCAACGCCGCCAAAAGCGGAAAACGTTTCTTCAGTTTTTCGCCGCAGCCGCCGATAAAGTAATCGGCTAACACCTCTACTTACAACTTTCTTTTTCTTCAACTTCACACATCGGATGAGCCAACCAAAGTGCGTGTGTAAAAGAAATGCAGACAAACACAGCCCTTAAGACTTTTCTGTTTCTATTTATGCTGGAAAATGTGAAGAAAAGTGAAAATTTTTCTAAAGAGATCCATGAGATAAAGACAATAAAACTGTTGATCTAATGAAATCTTATAATACCTCACAAGATCTTAGATATTCTTATGGTAGCTTGAAAGATCCTGTAACTTCTTGCAAGAACACAGAGGACACCTACGTCAAACACAACGACAATACGGGCGCAAAAACGTTGTTGCGACCGAAATTGCCAGTTTTTAGCGTTTTCTTCTCCACGAGAACAACTGCTAAACACCATCTTTTTACCGTGTTTCTGTTTCTCATCTAGATACAGAAAGAATGTCACTGAGGTCACGGCCATGCATGGTGTAACTATAAATTCGTTTTCGAACAAAGTCATATGTCGATAGCAAGATGTATTTTTAACTGTGACAATTACTATTAGCAGGCTACTACCATGCCGGGGAAGACGCAGAATTTTATTTCAGCCATGATTATAGTATGTTATAAGCGGAAATATTGGAAATATATACAAAAAAGATTATTAAAATTATTTTCTTCTGTATGGTACTTTTTCTATATGGTCGAGAAGCGCTGGGTACCACGTTCTGGCATTTTTTTCGACTTAAAATACATGCATCTTGTAGAGGAAATAAAACGCTACGAGCTGATATAAAGCTCAGTGGGAAAAAATGTTTTGTTCAGAATTTCATACTCTATTTACTGGTATATGGTGTAAAAAAATTCGACTCAGCTGTTTAAGAGAGGTTCACTATGTACTAAAAATTGTGTTTTGTGTAACTCCTTCCCTGAATTTCTCTGAAAGAGGAAGAACCAGGAGTGAAAGTTTGTACAGGGATAAATTGCTGAAAATCTCATATCACCGGATCGAAAAATTTTAAAAGCTTGTTCAGTCGAAACCGATTGCAGATTCGTTTTCTCCATGGTTGATTATATGGTACGCAATAACTTTTGGATCGGTGTACTTTAGAAAAAAATTTTCCCATGGTCTTGCTCAAAAATTTTTCAAAATGTTACCGTATGGGACCAAAGACAAAACGATGTCGAAAATTTTTTCTGAAGTACCCCGATCCAGAAGTTATCGCGTACCACATAATCAACCATGGAGAAGACGAATCTGCAATCGGTTTTGACCGAACAAGCTTTTAAAATTTTTCGATCCGGTGATATGAAAAATTTTATCCACACCACATTCTTAACGCTTGCGGAAGTACGCGATCCACGGACAATAATGAATATACATTGTGTACGCGGACAAGCTAACGGAGAATCTTAATAAAATTAAAACAAATTAATGTAAACGTACACACTCGGGTCATAGGTTGCATCCAGCTCCGTCTTAGTCTGTCACGTTTTTAATGGAGGAGTTATATTTTAGACCTAAGGTCTGCGGTGATAAGCTTTTATCTATGCTCGATAATCACGGACTAAACAAATTTTTAACTTAGCAAGTAGAGGACCTTTGAGCTCGCTAAAACTCTTGCTCTGTAGATGTTTATGACAGGCGCGTCGAATAAGACAATTTTTAGCAAAATCTACTCTTATTTGGTTATTGTACTTCACAGTGCCCTCGGGAAGTCTCTGTTAATAATCTATAGGCTTTTGTGGAAGAACATAGCGTATGTTAGAAGAATGCATAATTGTTTCGTTGCATGCAGGGACTAACTACAGTATCATTGAAAAGGTAAAAAGATGAACCGTATCCATAGCTATTTTAAAAGAATTCATGTGCAGACATAAAACAAATGAAGTAAATATTTCTTTAGATCTTTTCGGATAAGTGAGAGAATGTATACAAAAAACATTTCATACATAACGAGTGCACGATTGTTTGTTCTCTACCACACAGACATTACTCAAGGTTTTTTATCATCTTGAAAACTCATCTTGATTTCAAATATTATAGAATTCTTTCTTCTTTGTTCTGTGTAGAGTTTTGCTGTGTGCAATATGAAAAAGTAGAATGAAGTATTGTTCAAAAAACGTATTTTATACACAGATTTTTTTTGTTGTAGTATGAGGACTAACATTCTACTCAACCAAGAGAGAAATGTTTTTTATTGTTTTCAAGCGTCCCTAATTATCGTCTCTTCTCTGAGCTTTTGTGAACAAGCTTCTTTCTAGACGGACTATTTCTGTCACAGATTATCTTATAAGATCAAAAGATAGGTCTTCGAGACGGCTTTGATGAAGAAATCAGAGATCGATATTTAGACGTAATTAATGAGCCACAGAAATTACTATTACCAATCGGTGGTTATGAAAAGGTTCGCTAGTTTTACACGAAGAAGCTGTTTGACCATTGAACGAAACTATTGGCAATTTGTCTCATTGTCAAATTGTTTGGATATCAAAAGCAACCTATAGAAAAGCTTGTAATGGTTTGACTGCGGATGAATGAGCTGCTATTCATGCTTATAACTGAACATTAGGCAAGATCCATTTAATTACATCGGAAACACTATATATGCGTTAAGTGGTTGAATTATAAACTCCTATACTTACGACTCAGAATAAATGGGCGTTTGAATAACATGATTGAAACTATAAGAACCACTTGAGGGCATATTGGCTAAAAATAATAGTAATAATAAAAATCAAATTCGAAATTAATCTAGAGAATGAAAAATTTTTTAAGAAAGACTGTTTTCTCATACGAGCGCAGTTTCATACAAAATAATCTTGAAACATGTTTCTCTTTCGACTTTATAAAAAACACTTGAAGATTGTACAGTATACGTATAACTTGGACTAAGAGAAAAAAATGCACATAGTAGCGAGGAGAAAACAGAATGATATATATATAACAGAATGATCTTTACTTAGAAGAAACGCAAAAATCTGAACGGTCACATGGATTATGTTTTCTAAAACTAAACTGAATTTAGTCGAGACAGAACAGAATTGGATTGTTACAACTTCAAAATTTTTAAAATTGATTCCCTACCAATTAGAAAATGTACAAAAGAAGAGTTAAAAAATACATACACGAAATTCGTTTGAAAAGAATGCCATAAAAGGATAGGATTACATAGCTAACAGTTAACAGAAAATCTCCATTAGGATAAAGCAGCATTATCAAAACTTATTTTACATCCCAAGTAATTGTTCATCTGATCAGCTGAAATATCTGATCAGAAAGAGAAAACTTGATTTTTTTGCCCAAAAAGTGAAGGTTTCAAAGTCGAGAAGCTCTCAACGGACTGCTTCCGTTCTAAAACTTCGAGGAGATTTCACCCGTTCCTCAGATGAATCCTGAAGTCGCAAATCAGATGGTATATAGCGGAGAAAAATCGCGCGGACAAATATGAAAAGAATATACACACTTATTAGTAACAATGATCATCAGGATAGAAACTGGAAGTAGAAGCGCATTATTTTTCAACATTTAGAAAGAAATGCTTTGTCCGATAATATACGTAACTTATTTGGATTAAAAAAGTAGCAAACTCTCTTCATACTGCGGTAATTCTTCTCTCTTTCGTATGGAAACATTAACGAGGGAATATCCCCAGATGTACTCTCCCAAATTCAATAATCTTTGGGCCATAGATACTATATATGGTCGTAGTAAAAAGTCTAAAAGGATTTGAGTTCATAGTGCTTTCTTCAAGTTATAGGTTTTTTAATTTTGCTTGTATTAGGCGCACCAACAAAATTAAAAGCTCTATAACTTCCTAAAAACGTGCTAACGATCTGAATTTTTGTTCTGTGGTACCTTTCGATAGCTAGATAGGCCACAGAAAGTTTCAGCTTTCTAGCTTTTTTCCTTGCCGAAACGCAAGATTTTCCGAAACTGTAAGTAAATGACCATGTGTGTTTTATGTATATTCGAAGAACTCTGATTTCTTTATGAGTAATAAATCGTCAGAAAGAGTGTCTTGTAGGCCTGGTGAGATGGTTCGCCGTTCAATCTGACATTGAACACTGTCAGAGAGAACGTTGTCTCTCTTCTGCCACGTTGAGGTCTCTCACAGAAGAATGATATTTTTTTTTTATTTTTCCTTTTTCGCCTAATCATCGGCGTTAATTTTATTGGTGTGCCTAATACAAGCAAAATTAAAAAAGCTGTAACTTTTGAAGAAAGCACTCTGAACTCAAATCCTTTTAGGCTTTTTACTACTACCATATATAGTATCTATGGCCCAAAGATCATTGAGTTTGGGGAGTACATCTGAGGATGTTCCCCCGTAAGTTGAACAATGGATTTAGAGCCCTGCAGGTTACGACTTTTTGACAATCTGTAACCTAACCTATAAAAAAGTTCACAACCTAAACCTAACCTAACCTATAGATTAGGTTAGGTTTAACCTGCGGGGCTCTACAATGGATACGTAAGACAAGTGTTAAATGTGAAAAACACCAGAACAATCTAACGCCACTTACTACTGATACCACTTCAATGTTCATTTAAGTAGCTAAAATCGTTTAGTTTTGCTAGCGCTATTTTACACATAATTTCTGAAAAATTTCAAAAAAACATTAGCGTTAACAAAACAAAAATAGTTTGTTTCAATTCGCCCAAGCCATTTGATATATAAAATGCTGTGTCGAACACCCGTGGTTTAAATCTTGGATCAAGCGAAGCGAGGTACATTACGAGCTTCTCAAAACTTCATTCAATCGAGACGAAAATTTTAACACGTGCACCTAGGACGATATCTCAGTACGATTTTTCTTTCCAAGCTATACAGAGTTTTTTCAAAATCAAAAAAAGGTTTTTTTTTAGGATTTGCGTCACTCTTTAACACATCTCGAGCAAGAAATATAAAAAGAAACAAAAGATTACTCTTCTGAGATATCGTACGATGTTTCTCTGGAAAAATTAGTTGAAGTTTTGGGGATCATAATGTATTAGAAAACCTATGGAAAAACATGACATGGAACTGTGGGCAAAAAATATATCAATTTTCTTTTTTGATGTTCTATTCTGTTATACATCTCAGCTCATTCGGATCTTTTCGTGCACCTTTGTCCTGTTAGGTGAAAAAGGAGGGTAGTAGACCATTAAGTCAATTCTGTAAAATGATACACTAGAACAAATTTAACGCTGGCTTAAGCTCATACACTTAAGAATATTCTATACCCTGTATTTCTATCCTAAATTAGGAGAAACAGAGTTGGTTCGATCTACAAAACAGAAGGATAAACTACAGCCCCAGAACGACATTCTCTTTTCACACTTACACAGTATCATTTTTTACACTGTTAAAAATCTTAGTTCTTCTAAACATGAATGTGTTCTTCAAAAACTGAAGAACAAAATACGTGTTCTTCAGCTCCTTTTTGTTCTGCATTCCAACAAGAAACGAATTTTTGTTCTACGAAGAACAACAATTCATCGTCCATAGGAAAAGAATGAAGAAATGTGCCCTATATATATCGTCAAAATTGATTTCACGACAAGAGAGATGAGCAAACTATGGTAAAAAAGAAAATAAGAATTGAGTGTAAAGATATGAAGAAACCAACAAATTTACTTTTTCGCGAGAAAGATATTCTTGTGCTATTTCGTCCTCTGAAAAGTCTCCGCATTTATTTAGGCTCTTCACTACCGATATTTTAAAATCTTCGCGTTATCTTTTTTTTATTCTTATTTTAAATTCTAGAATTTCAGTAGTTTTTAGAATTTTTTGATTGAGTTGCTCGGTAAATACACGTTTTGACTTTGAATTTAACTTTTCTTCGTACCCTAGTGGAACTTCTTGTAACCAAGATTTTGGAAATTCTTTAATCATCGTTTTGTTTTACACTTTTGTGTAAATATAAGTGCGAATATTTTCACACTTAGAATAACTTAGAATTTTTTTCTTTCTTGAACGTAGTTGTTTAAGGAACCATCTATGACTCTGTATAGTCGTATACCAGATGGCTATGACTGTCATAAATATAAACAAAAGATAAAGAAAATTTTTCACCCAAGTTCTTGCAACATCTTGAGTGGATTCACTGAAGATCTTGAAACTTCTGTTCCTAAGATCTTGGGTACAAGAAGTTCCACATCATGCCCCTACATAAATTATTTATATTTCTATTTATTTCAGATAATATTGAAACTTTATTTTTAGAATTAACTAAATTTTATCATCTACGAAAACTCTATTTTAGTTTCATTACTTCTCAACTTTCTTTCGTTTTTAAAAAGTTGTGAGAAGGTACCCAGGTCAAAGAATTCTATAATAGGGTCATATGGGATCTTGTGAGATCCTACCAGATCCTAAAATAAGATCTTGTCTGATATTATATGATCCTATGAAATCATATAGGATCTTATAGGAAATACGTCTGCCATCTTAAAGCAAGAAATGACATAGGATTCCTGTTATAGGATCCTACAGTAGGAACTTATAAGACCATATAAGATTCTGTATAATCTTATTATAGGATTTGGTGGGATTTTACCTGATCAACTAGGATATGCTATGGTTTAGCCTACTAAATTTATTATTTTTATTTGTTTAATTATTCTCTGATCTCAGCTAGCCAGAATCAGGCGATTCTGAACTGGGATAAGCCCAAGACTTGTGAGGAATCCTGTAGGATTTTTGCTACTCTTCTATATCAAGAATCCTATGAAATTCCTGCTGTCGGATTTTATAGGATCCTACAATAGGAATCCTATGAAATCCTCTTATCAATAGGATCCTATAGGATCTTGTAGGAACCTAGTAGGACTGCTTGAGCTCGGTATATCTATAGTCAAGCAGTTTCTAATGCAAACCTAAGTACATTCTTCCGGCTCATCGATTTTCAAAATGCTTTGAATCAGAGTTGGAACCAGATCGGACTAGTTAAAACTTTAAAAACCGCTCAGTCTCACTGATTTTTCACCGATTAGAAAAAATATTTTAAACCAGTCGGTTTTATATCGGTTGAACTATTTAGAAACGCTTATATTATCTCTGATTGTGACAGCAATACTAGCGAAAAATTCGTTGTGTATATATGTCGGAGTTCAGATTAAAATCCAGTTGAGTTTAAAACTAAACTAGTTCAGATCGAGATTTTAATACAAACTAGGTAAAATCAAAATTTAAGTCTGAACCAGTTCATGTTAAAACTCGTTTCAAAATCAACTAGTACATTTTAGAATTTCGATTTTTCCTAGGTCTAATCGAAATTTAAATTTTCAATGGACAAAGCACACTAGATGGATTTGAAACTCAACTGGATCAATTATGCATTTCAAAACGAACTAGTTGTGTTGTAAACTGAACTAGCCGGCATTAAATTGCATGAACCTAGGTTTCTAACCACTTCGAACAAGGTGAAACGGACGTTGTGGAGGCAGTACGAAGCAATACCTGACACGTGTCATACCATAGAAGTAATACTATGGTCAGAACTCAGTCGTATCGTGTACTGTCTTACCATGGAAACTTTCTATGCTAAACTCGATTCCTACACAACTTCTCTCGATGAAATACGGAAGCCATCAGTCTTATACCGAAGTATGAGTTAATTTTATTGAACGGCACTACATTTTAATAACTAGTTCGTTCAAAGCATCAGGGTTCTGCTGGACCACTTTTTCGGCGTGATCAACAATATATGCCACCTTTTAAGTCTTTCCTGAAAGGTTCCTTGAGTCAGCATGAGATTTGATCGTGATATAAGGATTTTAATTTTTGCTAGTAACAGGCGAAAAACCGGTTTTTCACAAAAAAGCCTCCGACGAAGTTATATTCATTTCTACACAAAAACAAATGTTACCGCTATGCTCAGCGTAGTCGATTACCTATATTCTATGGCATTTCGAGATTCCCAGAGATGTCTGCTCGGAGATAGACACGTGCTCGGGGAAAGTGAGCCCTGTCCGAACGACAATAGCTGGAGAGCCGGGAGTTGCATAATTTTGTAGAGTAACGTCCGGACTATCTATGCATGCAAAAAGATTACCAACATTGTATGTTAGTTTTCTGAGAATGGAGCTGGTTTTCCAAAGACCCTCTGGAAACCCGATCTTTGAAATTTTTTCAAAAGTTGTTTCCGCTTGTGAAAAGTTCCGCTCAAGTCTTGGCTATCGAACAGCGAAAAAAGAGAGATAGAAATCTGAAACTACGATACAATAAAATGGTATGATAAAAGTGGTGTGATGAAGAAAGAATGTATGGCCAATAATAAGATAAGAGAATGTGGAAGGCCTAGTCTGTAACACACATATAATTTTAATTCCATATTCAGTGATTTTCATGCTAATAAAGTTCTTTAGTGTTCTTGTTTTCGATGAAAACTTCGTCTTCATGGGCTTTTTTCGTGTATGTCGACTAAAATTAATCTAAACCAAGTGCTTAGCAATAACAATATGAGGATACTCTAAGAACATGTGATCGAAGAATTGAAACATGAGGGTATTCATTCTCTTCCATTGTCAAATAATGTCAGCTAAAAAGTGAAAGGGTACATATTCGATATTCAAAGGCAAGCAGTTCAGAATTGTTTGTAACCAATGGCGCAAAACTTGACATACGTAACAAAATGAAGAATCTTTTCATTAAGTCTAGATATGAATGAGACTCTATAGTAAGAGACATGCAGAAACATAACTGTACATTACTTTTTTGATAAATTTTCTCGCAAGATAAATTCAATTAATTTAAAATATACCTTTAATTCTAATAAACAAAATTCATTAGTATATAAAATAAAATGCTTATAGAGTCGTAAATTATTGGAGTAAACTAGGAGTCGTAGTTTACCTGAATAGTTTACGATTTGACAAGTAGTTTAGTTTAGATTTTAAATAGCCTATATTGTGTATAAAAAGGTATCAATATTAAATTCGTTGGTATGAAAACAAGAAAGAAGGCAGAAGTGGTTCGTATAACATTAAATTTGCTTAACAAGTATAGTATGTATGAGTTAGATTTGTCTCTTTAGCGTATTCCTATCTCTGTAACTTGAAACTTCTTACTAGTGAATCAGAAGCAGATAGGAATGATCAGTTTAATGCTTTTTTTATGTAAGCTGACTGATGATGATCTCAAAATTAGTCAAGTTTAGTCTGGTTTTCTCACATAATTCTTTAAGAATTTATATTATTCCCCTGATAATTTCGCCCTAATTTCAGCGCGATATTCAATCCAAAGAAGGATGGGATATAATGCTGGCTAAAGAAGGACTAAAAGGTAAGACGACAGAAGAAGCAAGTAAATTACAAATAATAATGTCCTATATTATATATATTCAGTCGTCGATGTGTATCAAGAATGGGCTGGTTCTACCGTTGTACTAGAAGATCTATTTTTAAAATTGAAACGTAGTCTGACGCAAGCAGAATTCTTGACGTATTACTCGGTACCAATTATCGAATGTGTAATACAATATCTTTAATATTAACAATTTGTTCAGGTGAATTGCGAAAATATTGAACCTCTGAAGAGATATCGTGGTCATTGTGAACCATCGTTATTGTTCTTCGGAGTAAGTAAAACATTTACTATATATCTGCAACGGTTTAGCCCTGATTCGTCGACACGTTAATTGATTTTTAGCGTCAGCGACTCACAAACATCTCTTTTTTTGGTATCGTCCCGTTTCGTCGATAAATCGGGTACTTCAAAGAATATACATCAGAGAATTTCAACGGCTGGAGGGGCGGTGTGAGAGTGAGTGTCACCGAAACGGGACTGAATCCTTTTTTTTAATTGATCTTCCATTGCTAAAGATAGATCAACGTTAGTCAAAGAAGATAATCGATCACTCGATATTTGATACACTCTTGTATGAGATGATTAGCATAAATAATTTCATTTTTTCCCTTTTCTTTATTTGTATGTTAGAGTAATGTTCTCATTCATGTTGAACTTGGGATTAATATCAATAGAATAAAAAAATCTATCGAAGAACAATTACAAAAAGAATTTGAATGCATAAAAGGTCAACGAAAACGAGAACCGGTACAGATACAACTATTCCTACTAAATTACTCTGAGAATCATTTTTTATTCACATTTTTTAGATTAACGATTCATTTCTGGCAAAATATTCCGATATAGAGAGGAGTCTTGTCTCTACAATTGGAAAAACATCTGTCATTACCGAGCCAATGCGTGTGTAACCTACATCTGGAAAGAATTACCTGATGATCAATTACCTCTTTGTTTTTCAGTATATACCGAAGAAAGTGAAAGTTTAAGAAGTTTATTAACTCAAACAGCTGAAAAAATCGACGAAAACACTTGGTTACAACAAGGTATGTAAGCAAGAGTACAAGGAAAAGAGTAATGGAATAAGCTGTATATTTTTGTTTAAGAACCGTACAAATTGAATGTCGCATTATTTGTTATCAAACCTGATCTGTTAGCTAGTGGCAAAAAAGATGAGATTATTGATCATGTAAAATTCTCTTGATACTTTTGAATTTGTTTTATTATATTTATATATATTACTTTTTTAGCTGAAGGAACGTGGTTTTATTATTCATCATATGCAGGACAAACTGTTAAATGATGAAAATATTACAAAAATATTTAAACCATCAAATTATTTGGTACAGACGATATTGTTCTTAAATCGTCTTTAAATTTTTTTCGTTTTGTTTTAGGAGCCTCATTTGATCGATGAATTTAATCGTTTTATGTCGTCGGGCCCATCAACGTACATAGTATTGTCCAAAGGTCATACTGGAAAAACAACATTGGATGAACTATCATATTTTGTTGGTCCAAATGATCCCGATCGTGCAAAAGAAATTGCTAAAGATTCATTAGTAGCACGATATGGGACGGACGCGATTTTGAATGGTTTTCATATCAGTGAAAATAATGAAGAAGCTCGAAAGTCAGTTATTTAGAGAAGGACATTTTTTGTAAATCGTATCCGGAATTGTTTGTAGAGAAATTCAAGTCACTTTTCCCGATTATCATTTACCAATTATCGAAGGAAAACGAATAGTCGAATATATACAACAATCAGCCACGTTGGGGCTCATTGGACCGGCTCAATGTAGAACAAAAAAAGGTAATAACTTGACCAAATGCTGCGTATAATGTGATAATCGTTTAATGAACTATTTGTTCTTTTTAGCAACAATAATTCAGACCATACGTAATGCTGGTTTTGAAGTTCGATATCAAAAACCTTATACATTTCGTTCAGATGAAGTAGAATCATTGTACATTAAACATCGAAATGATCACTTTTTCAAACAAATGATTGAAGCATATACAGTGTACGACGATATCTCAAACTCTTCGTTAAAATTAATCTCACGTTTTTAGAGGTCCATGCCTTTTACTGTATATTGCAAAACATGAGAATGCTGTATCAGATTTTATCAAATTTATCGGACCATTTCGACGAGAAGAATATATGACAATGCCTGGAACGTATGTTATTCAATCATGTATTTAGATGATCGTAGGACGATATCATTCTAGTTTGCGTTGCGATTTTGATGATCCAATATCCCCAATGACAACAATTCATGGTTCAGAAACAATTATTGATGCTCGAAAAGAACTAAAACAATTTTTTCCATATCAGCAAACATGCTCAATATTGAAACCAAATTTATCATCTGTACAAAAAGGTGAGATATTATCAGGACTTTTAACGTATTAAAAATATTTTAAAAGACAAATGAGTATTCACGTTATTTCCTGTTGGTGCCGTTAAGATGAAATTATGAAACGTATTCGAGCAGCGGGTTTCACAATACTATCGAAAGAAACTCGTCAATTATCAAAAGAATTGTTAACTCAAATGTATGCAAGACATAATGGTCTACCTTGGTTTCAAGATTTTATTCGATTTATGAACAGTGATGTGTGTACAATTCTGATACTTGGTCGAGAAGATGCTGTAATGGCATACCGAGAAATGATGGGACCCGTTGATCCAGTGAAAGCGAAAACAGATGCACCTGAATCAATTCGTGCTATATATGGTCTTGATATTATGCGTAATGCTGTACATGCATCATCTCATATTAAATTTGCTCGAGAAGAAATTCGTTTATTGTATCCGGATTACGAGTTTATTAAAAAGCGACCCTCGTTTATTCATACCATCAAAGAATCAGTGGATGTTGACAGTGAATTCGATAAATCAAAACAGATAAATCATGATATTGATTCGTTAACAAGTCAGAGAATATCACAAGACATGCATGACGACGCTGATGAATTCATCTATCTTGAACCAAATGAAATTCTCTATGATGTATCCGTATATACTCGCACAAGAGAGAATATTAGTGAAGACACAGCTGTGTTTCTCACATTAATCGGACGAACAACAGAGACAAAAAAGTTTTTGTTACAATTTGCGGATAATACAATTCAATCTTTGTTACCAAATAAAATGGATGTTTTTCGATTTGTTGATCAAGATGTTGGATCAGTATGTTGTATAGGTCTTCTCACTTTCACTGAATTGACTGTTCTCAGTCTATTTCAGTTGAAAGCAATAAAATTTTCACATGATGGTAGAGGATTTCCGAAAAATTGGTTCGTTGGAACGGTGAATGTGACATTGCCAAGTAGAAATAAAACATACGGGTATGTGTGAAAAAATAATATTTTTGTTTCTGTACAAGACACGAATATTTTCTTTAAATTGAGATTCGAGGTAAATGGCCTGCTTAATCAAGAAAAAGTAAAACAGAGATATCAAGTGACAGAAATTAAAGGCAAGATATTCTGAAAAATGAAACAGTAATAAGCAACAAACTATTTTTTCATTTTAGATGTTGAAACCACTACCCGTAAGAGCATGATGACACACTCATTCACTAAAATTTGTTGTTGTCATTTTTAAGGTGGAAATTGTGCTATTATTATTCAAACAGGAAATGCTAAATATGCATCGACGTCTGCTGATTGTAGGTATGTTCTAAATAATTTTTCGCTAAAGATGATTTAAGAGTTTTAATAGAAATCAAAAGATTAGGCTGATACTGGAAGATTAAGAACATTATTTCTAGGGACTAAAACTGTATTCTTAACTTTCCATAGTAATGCTCTTTGTTCACTCTTAAGTTTATTCGGTTTAATATGTTTTGATCTCATTTTTTCTTTAAGTATACTATTATCTGGACCTCAAGGTGTTTATGCATTTCAATTACGCAAATCGTTAACAAATCGCATTCCATTTGAAAATCGTTGTAGAGATATCTTTTTGGTGGAAGTGGATAATGAATTACGTCAAGTGAGAATCACGTGCTGCATCACGATTTTGTTGTATGAACATCTACTTGGTTTTAGCTAGAATATGTCGTTTTGGAACATAATAATGAAAATGCTGCACCAGCTTGGTATGTTGACTTTGTTGTCATAAAGTTATTGAATCATCAACAAGAATACTTGTAAGTTAAATAAGAGAGAAATGGTGTAATTCATTATTTTAATTCATTATACTTAGTTTTCCAGTGAATCGTTGGTTATCAACCAATTACTTAGATGGAAAAACAAAAGTAACGTTATCTTCAGCTGTCATGAGTGTTGTTTCAGAAGAAGGTAGATGAGTTCTATATTCGTCTTCGCTGATATACTAAATGTTCTCCATTTTCTAGACTTGCTTGAAAATCGTTCAGATCGTAAGCAAATAGTAATCCTATCTGAACTAAGTTTTTCTTAAGAACTTTAATTTATTCTAGTGATTAAATATGAAATTCATATTACTACAGGCTCTATGCCAAAAGCAGCTACCAATTCACCAGTGTGGATAACAATCAATGGTACAAAATCATCGATAACGAATAAATATTTGGAAATAGCTAATAATGAATTGTTTCCATTTGAACCAAGTCAAACAGATACGTTCATTCTTTACGATCAAGATGTTGGAGAAGTAAGATGTTACTGTTTTAATGACACAGCTTTATTTTATAATATACCCTAAATTTAGATTGAGAAATTGTTTCTTGGACACGAAATTGTTCAGTATGGCGAAGGTCTATTTCTCAAGAATATTTCAATTAATGTTCCATCGAAAGGATCTGAAAGTGAAAAGTAACTACAGAATATACCATGTATCCTTTGATTATAACGTCTATTTTCGTTCAGATTCCGAATTAATAAATGGTTAAATCCAAAACGTGTCGATGGTATTCCATTGCTCGAAATTCAAGTACAAAAACCACTTGTTAAAGAAGTGAAACAACGAAGTGTCAAGAAGAAAACAGTGCGAAGGCGTACAGCATTACCGACATCAAATCCGCGAGCTGTAGTAAGTCAAATCCCAAGTCGTACGGCGAATGCAACGGAAACAACATTGCATACGTCTGTATCGTCCGAATCGCTAAAAGTGGAAAATGGTAAGTGAAATGACACTTTGAAGTTTATTTATTAACTACAATTTATGTTTGTTTTAGAATATGTCTACTTTGTATACATATTAACCCGTGATTTTGAGTGTGATATAGCTAGACCAAGTGTATTTATTGATTTGTTCATCGATAAGATCAATAGAACAGATTATATGCGACTAAAGTGTGAAAATGGACAAGATATTAAGCAAGCACTTGAAAAAAGATCATTTGCAAAATTCATTGTGAAAGGACCAAAAGTGAATGGAGTACGTAGATTATGCGATTCTATGACGTATATAAAGCCGTTGTTTAAATTGTGAAAAAAAAACTCATAACTATAAAGAGTGTTCGATTGCTGATTTTTACTTATCTGAACAGGTAGTAAGCGTGCAATTATTGATTCGTTCACCGGATCAAGTGACCCGATGGTTACCATATTCAGTCCTTATCCATAATGTCGAAGCCGAAAAAGTTTACAAGTGAATTGGAACCCTTAATACATTGAGATTGTCTGTCTGCGAGTAAGCATAAATGTAACCACTACTATTTTTTGTGTAGGTTTGAAAATTCAAAATGGTTAGATTGTAGTGCAGGAAATGGTTATGGTATTGTTTCGTTAAATTTTGATCAAATAATCGATCCAACGATTGCATCAAGTGTCGAGGAAATGAAAGAACAAATATCACAATCGTTTATTCGTACAACACAAAAAATATCAGATACAAATTTAAAACAAACATCTGAACAATTAGAAGAACATATTCGTGCCATATTTAAGACATTTTCAGCTGAAACTGGATTCTCAGTAAATGATAAAAGAAAATTATCGTCAACAGATCTATCACAAAAAAAATAACATAAATGTTTGTTAAATCAACAGAAACTAGCAATACATGTTATACTTTTGTACAGATAAACGTAGGAATTTATAGATAGAGAAGTAGAGTATTTCTATTCATTTTATTCACCAAACACTGGGAAAAATGAAATAACAGTTTTATTCTTTAAAATATCTGAATTTTTTTTCTGATTTTCTCGAAACGTTCCTGACTTAAGGGGGGGGGGGGGGGGGGGGGGGGGGGGGGGGGGGGGGGGGGGGGGGGGGGGGGGGGGGGGGGGGGGGGGGGGGGGGGGGGGGGGGGGGGGGGGGGGGGGGGGGGGGGGGGGGGGGGGGGGG